AATATGCCACTAATTCTTGGTGCAACAGTACACTGACACAGTTTACATTAGGCTGCCTCTGATCCGCCTGAAGATCTTTTGAGCCGTGGGTATGTTTTCTTCCAGCTACTATTATACTTGCTTGATGACGTGGCCATTGGTCAAAGTAATATCTACCACAGATAGAACTAGGTCTATATCCTGTCTTTTTTCTGTCCTCAAGTAGTTTCTGAACAGTCTAAATCACTTAATATCAGTGGTGGGTTTTGGTTTTATATTCCGCATTTATTCTAGTAGATTAACATAAATTGCAGAGGGCCTGGGTTTATCAAAGTTATGATCCGTTTCATTCATTCATTCAGTAGCATGTCCCTCGCGGAACCTCGCTGCCATAACAACCCTCCGGAAAACCTTCCTATCCTGAGCAAGATGTCCTGCGTCTGATACACCCATCTGGAGATCATCTGCCACATCCTGCACACATCTTCTCCTTGGCCTTCCTCTTCCTCTCTTCCCAGGCATATACCCCTCCATTATTGTTCTCTCTAGACTTCCATGACGTTTCAAGTGACCAAAATATTTCAATTTTCTTTGTTTTATTGTCTTTACTAGCCAACCCTCTTCAATATTCAGCTCTTGAAGTATGGATGCATTTGTTCTTTTCTTTACCCAAGATATTCTTAGAACCTGTCTGTAACATTTATATTCAAATGCATTTATGCGCTGTTCCGCTTGTTTAGTAAGTGTCCAGGTCTCACAGGCGTATATTGCAATGGGAAAGATGCATGCTCTTAAGAATCTGACCTTTGTAATTCTATCTGTACAATTCCATAATTTATTCAGTTGTTTTAGTCTTTGAAGAGCAATTGATAGTCGCCGTTTAATTTCCTTCATTGTGTCACCATTGTTGGTAACCAGTGACCCAAGATATTTGAAATTTTCCACCACTTCCAATCTTTCCTCATTAACATATATTTCCTTCTCCATGGCAGTTTTGTTTGTATGCATTATCTTTGTTTTTGCTATGTTAAGAAATAAGTTATGATTTTCACTATTTCTTTGGAGTGAGGTTAATAAGTTTTCTAAACCATTTTGTGATGTTGATAGTAATACTGTATCATCAGCATAACGAATTTTTGGTATTTCATGACCACCGATGTTTAGGGCATCATCACGATTACTAGTACTGACCCCTGTATCACACTCCTCCCGAGTGTTATCTGATCTGCCTGGCCTGGGGGTCTCGCCACCAGATCTCTTCTGTGTTATGTTTTCTTTCATGATTGTTATGGATTCTTGGCAAAATTTGCAGAAGGTAGTTTGCCGTTGCTTTCCTCCTGAGCAGTGACTATACTAGTCGGTGGCCATAGCCATTGTCTCTACTGATGAGATCATCTGCCTATCGCCGCAGAGTGCAGACCATAACCAACAATACCTGTCAGCTGCTCTTACACTCCATCCACCACCTGCTTCCATGGCTTCACGTAACCCTGATTGGGGGGCTAAACGGGTACTCCACCTTGCCCAAGGGTGTCCCGCAGACTAGCGGAGGAAAGGAGGCGTCTTACTTCTCCTTTGATAGGGGATACCCCTACCCCGCTAACCGGATGATCCGTTTAGGAGACAACAAATACAATAAGAAATGGCGCGAATCACAGTTAGTCCATGCCAGGACAGCACAACAAAGTCAAACTAAAATAAAGATGTTAACTGTAGATCTAAATTGCTTTTAGCAAATCTGCGTGTTTCTAACAAAGGAACCATGAAGCAAATGTGAGCACATCTTGATAAGAAAAGCCAGAAAAAAACCCAAATATGCCAACATATGACAGTTCATTTTCGTATGCCAGTTCAATTTCAAATATGCCAGATTTGTGGAATCTGGCATAAAAATGTCAATATGGCAACCCTGCTAGTACCATTGGTATTGGAACTCTGCGCTGCCCCCCCCCCCCTTTTTTTCCCCCTTTTCCAATCATTTATCCCTGTCTTTGTTTTCCTTCTCTTTCTGTTTTTTACTCTTTGTTTCATTCTTTATTTCTTTTCTTCTAACTCCCCCCCCCCCAACCACCACCATTCTCTCTCTCTTTCTCTCTCCCATTTCTCCTCCTCCTCCCCCCCCCCCCTTAACCCTTTCGTTCGCCTATGATATTAGAGAAAAATGCAGTTGCCAAAACAGATATGCAGTTCGTCTCAGTAATCTATGATACTTTTGTTCTGTACTGCAAATCATTTTTTAAGGCTCATTTTCCGTAATTTTATTATTATTATTATTATTATTATTATTATTATTATTATTATTATTATTATTATTATTATTATTATTATTATTATTATACACACTGGCAAGGCATCAGCAGCTTTTAGTAGCCTGAACAAAATATGGAACTCTAAATTATATAGATTTAAATTCAAGTTTTTTTTCATTTCTAATGTTTTTTCAATGTTAAGATATGTTTTTAAAAGTTTGAGAACCACATGAGACATGTGACGAAAGTTAAAGTGCATTCGAATACAAATGCTTTAGGAAAATCATAAACATAAAATGTAATGATTTCAAACGGATTCTAGAAATGAGAGAAATGCCCGGGCAACTTTTCATCATTACCATCAACATCATTTGCCGTGCCAACGGGCGTAGGCGCTCACGCGTCTCCACAGATCACGATTCCTGGTTGCCTGGAACAGCTCTCGTGAAGATATCCCTCCATGCCATCGTTTCAGCCCATCCAGCATCATCTCTCTTGGTCTGCCTCTACCCCTCTTTCTACTGATCTTTCCAGTTGTCACGATATTCTGCAACGTCTCTCTTCTAATTATGTGGCTAAAGAACAGTGTTTGTCTATTTCTTCTTGTTGTATACAGAGATCTACTTTCATTAGCCTCTTTCAAGCAATCGTTGTTAGTTACTCTGGCCGTCCAAGGTATTCGTAACATTCGTCCCAGAAACTACATCTCTGTTGCTTCCTAATTGGACCATTAACTTAGTATTAACAATTGTAAGACAAAGAAGATGGCGCTTTATTGGACACATCCTGAGAAGAAAAGTACAGACCATCACCAAACAGGCACTGAAATGGGAAATACAGGGACTGGGGAAGCAATGCCGCCAAAAAAGGAGACCCTAAAACAATGCCGATGAGTGAGGTCAAAGGTGATGGACTGGATTCCATCCATGATATTGAACTGATTGCATAGGATATTGCTGCGGATTATGTGCCTTGCGTTGGTTTCGACAGTGGTATTAGGGGACCGACCGTCTAGAAAGCAGTGGCAAACTACTGGACGTAAATTTGCCTAGATAAACCACACAACAGCTAGGGGCTGTTTGGGGTTGGTTCTGCAACGTCCTGTAAAGGATACGCAACTAACCTTGCACAGGATCTATCATAACATAACCTTTGACCTTAGGGTCGTGGAGGTGTATAGATGGAAGCACTAGCCTACAAAACCGGCCATCTTTCTCTGTCTTCTGTTTGGTGAATAAGTGTATGATTTGTCAATTTCTTGACGTTGTCATTCCAGATTCTTCTTTGCCCTCCTCTTCTTCGAAGTAAAATACAGTAAAGGACCCTTTTTCCACGCCTTTAGGCGCCCTGCTAGGGACCTGGTTTGGTGGGTATACTTGGACATCCCAACTGTCGGGTAGGTTTAGGTTTAGACGACGGATCAACATCATGGCGCAAGGATAGTAGTAACCCATAAGTGTTTTGTTTTACTTCTTATTCCAGTCAGAAGAATCGCAGCGCAGAGCACGAACTACGTAGAACCGGCAAAGATATTGAAATACTTTTGCCCAGACAGCGCCGTTGGGCTACTTTACTCTTTTTCGATTTCCAACTGCTAATGGATTTTTTTTTTACGTGCTCGCAGTACACAAGGGCGTCCGATCTTACTAACCATAGACCAAGGGAAATTACTAGAAGTCCACGTGAAAAAACTCAAAGCCTTCACCTGGGCTTGTATCTGTGACCCCCAGCACTCGAGGCGGACGCCATGCCTCGAGACCACGCAGTCCCTAAGAGTCACGGAGAAATCATTATACCTCTAAGATAATGCACCTGACCAGATATTGTGAAACATGGCCGACAATAAAATACTCAGTGTACTCTTTGGGTCCGCATTATGTTAATTTTACAAAACGGGAAAACATGGTTTTGTTTTATGTCGTTCTCTCCTTTTGTTTCCATTTAAGACAGTAGTTTCAACATCCCTAATGCGGTGACCCTTTAATACAGTTCCTCCTACTGGGACGACCCTTTAATACAGTTCCTCCTACTGTGGCGACCCTTTAATACAGTTCCTCCTACTGTGGCGACCCTTTAATACAGTTCCTCCTACTGTGGCGACCCATTAATACAGTTCCTCCTACTGTGGCGACCCTTTAATACATTTCCTCCTACTGTGGCGACCCTTTAATACAGTTCCTCCTACTGTGGCGACCCTTTAATACAGTTCCTCCTACTGTGGCGACCCTTTAATACAGTTCCTCCTACTGTGGCGACCCTTTAATACAGTTCCTCTTACTGTGGCGACCCTTTATTACAGTTCCTCCTACTGTGGCGACCCTTTAATACAGTTCCCCCTACTGTGGCGACCCTTTTATACAGTTCCTCCTACTGTGGTGACCCTTTAATACAGTTCCTCCTACTGTGGCGACCCTTTAATATAGCTCCTCATGTCGTGGCGACCCTTTAATATAGCTCCTCATGTCGTGGCGACCCTTTAATATAGCTCCTCATGTCGTGGCCACCCTTTAATACAGTTCCCCCTACTGTGGCGACCCCAGCCATACAATTTGTTTCGTCGCTACTTCATAACTTCAATGACTTAGTGTTTTGTGATGGCTTTGGCGACACCTGTAGAAGAGTCGTTCGACCCCGAAAAAATGGTCACAATCCATAGGTTGAGAACCTCTGATCTAAGAAAAGAAAAGTACAGTGTTCTGACTATTTATCAGTTTATACTAAAAATATATATATTATTTTACAATGTGAATCGTAGTTGATTTAAATTTTTCATTATGAGTTTGTCGTCACATAACAAGAAGTATCCGCTTTAAACAGTCGCCATTTTTTCATGACCGCGGGAATTGTGTAGAGAAGTGGATTGAGTGCGGAGTTAACCGGCAGAACCAACACTGCCAACCAGGCATAGGCTTCCATAGAGATATCATGGCCGTCTAGTGCCAGAAGACCTATCACTCCAACTGGACACCAACATAGAAAGTCAGTGATTGCGATCAAGGATAAGTGTTTGGCTATCGCTAAATCTTGGGCGCGCCTGCTACTGGCGTTGGTGATGTTAGCCTTGTTTATCCTTGTATCTGACATTGTCCTGTATATGACAACCTGCCCGATAGCGATAAACATAAACAAGAAAAAGTTTAGGAATATAAAGATGGTTGTTGAAAACTGCCAGCCCGGTTGTCTTCTGTTGGTCAGTGGAAGGCCAAGACACATCCCATTAGAGTTATAGATGGTCCAATGGTCAAAGGGCGGCAGTAGTGGTACTGTGGCAATTAGAAAGCCTAAAGCCCAGCTCAAAATGCATAGGATATTGATAAGCTTGCCGGATATTCTCAGCTGCCCAAAGGGGAATCTAATGACCAGGAATCTGTCCAGTGTGATGAGTGTAATGAAAATCGTGGAGGTCTCGTTGGATAGTGTTGATAGAAATCCTGAAACTTTACACGCAGCGCTGCTTCTCCACTGGAGCTCGTCCCACACGTAACTCCCACGGTAGTACGTATCTGCAGCAGCAATGATGATCAGATAAATACCCATTAGCAAATCCGAGAAGCTGAGGTGTGTCACAAAGTGACCGTATGCCATTCTAAGAATCTTCTTTTCGAAAAGCAGTCGATATATAATTACTGAAATGTTGCCTATGAGAGCCAGGAAACCGTTAACCCAAAGAAGAATGCGAAGGATTTGCTCGCTGATTAGATCAGCGCAAGAAGAAAAAGGATCCCGAGGAGCTTTGCAGTAGCCGGCTGGGGTGTTTTTATTATGAAGTTGCGGGCAGCACAGTTTGAAAGTATCTGTGAACAGGCTTTGTTCTATAATAACATTCGTGAACATGTTGGCATAGAGGTGTTGAACAACAACCCCTCGTAAGTCCAGTTGCTGGAGCACGAATCCCGCGGGAAACATATCACCCCGAATCTCAGATAGCGGGGTGTTTCTGAGAAACAAACGTTCAAGGTTGTTTAACGGGACAAAGATGGCTGAGTTAATGGCACTAAGACCCGTGTTGGACAAATCAATTTCAACAATGGCTGATGTTGTTGAGTAGGTGCTAAAGGCATCGTTGTGCATATAAACGAGATAGGGGTTGTAACTTAGATTTACGGTACGCAGACCGATCATGTATCTAAATATGCTGGTGACCGACACACTTTGAATGAAATTGTAGCTTAGGTCTATCCACAACATCGAACGAAGCTGGTTCTGCGAAGATGGTGTGGCGTCGATGTGGGTGATACTACATCCAGAGAAAGTGGCTTTCAGCAAGTTATAAAAGTGTCCTCTTGGAAATGATGGAAACACTGCAGAGATGTTGACACCGGAAACGTCCAGGTATCGCGTTCGCGAGTCCACAAACCTGAAATCAGTTAACGGAATAGACACGTCATATCCGTCTAAAGTTACAGCGCCTCCTAAACACTGAAAGCCACTTCTACAAGTAACGAGACAATTCAACTCATCGTCCCCTTCTGGGCAGTGCAGATAGTCATCACAGACGTGGTCTGGGTGTAGACAAATGTTACTTGACGCACAGACAAAGTAGCCTGGACAGTTGATTAACACGTCTAGTTCATCTTCTCCTCTTGGACAGTCGTACTCCTTGTTCTGAAAGTAATGAACCGGGATACAGTAAGAACGGGGACATTTGATATACCCTTCTGGGCAAACATGATGTTCGCAGTCGTGTAGATGTTTCATGTTTCTGCACCCAATCGGTTCTCCGTATCTATCTTTCATATACACGCATTTTGGTGCCCAGTTGGTGTATTCTGCATACGGTCTCTCTGATTCTGAATAGCACGAGGCAGACTTTAAAGACCCTATTGTTTCATCTATTGGTCCTTCGGGGCCTTTGCAGTCCACAAATCCGTCGTTTAGCATAGATTTGTACACGCACTGAGTCCTATTGCATGTGAAGGCACACTGGTCGATATCTTTGACATTTACCGCTGCCATTTCTGCGACTATGCTTCCTTGATTCGTGCATGAACTACAGTCGACCTCCCCATCTCCAAACCAGTGATAAGGTGCGCACCTCCCATCAGGGCAGCGTCCGTGTTGGCAGGATGTGCAATCGGCTTCATCGGACCCGTCCAGACAGTCTGGATACAGGTCACACCATGAACTTGCTTCAACGCATTGTCCTGAGGCGCACTTCACTTCCATCATACTGTCGCACTCCCTGAATCGGCAAAGCGATTCGTCGTTTGTATTGAGGCAATTTCTTTTAAAATCACACACCAGAGCATATGGTATTAAAGTCACGCTTTCGTCCCCACATTCATACAGTTTTAATGAAGTTAAAGACATCGCGTTGTTCACTTTGTGTTGTTCGAAGACTGAATAAGAATTCATAAAACTGTCTTTCGTCAACTGCAGTGCTGAAACAGACACATATGAACTCTGCCCTTTGTGTAGTGCCAGCTCTCCCCTGGAAACGGCTGCTTCAATGCTGCTGCTATTAGGTGCTTCTATTGAAAATGATTTCAAAGTCGACACATGACTAAGAAGTTTATTTTCTGACTCACACAAATAGAAACGGCCGTTGTTAAACCCACAGCCAACACTGGACCAAAAGTTATCAACTTTCAAGCCGGATCCAACATTCACTGATGTATGTGTTCCAGAGATGACTGCTGCACGTCCATCCATGTCTTGAAAGATATTTGTTGAGAAGTTCCACACAACGCAGCCTTCAATTGACCCACTATTTGGCTGCCCTTCACCCCAGTGTGTCAATATCAAAGGCATATTGTTCATCCACCGAAATCGTTGCCCAAGAGATTTTGCCCTGGTCAGTCCAATATAAACATTAACATAATCACTTGTCTCATTTGTTGAATTCAGACGAGTTTGTATCATCTCTGGCAGAACTTTTTTAAGGAACGATAACTCCTTCTCCGACTCAATAGAAACCAGCTCAGAAGACCAGGTATTGCATTTCTCGTTGGACTCCAGCCAGTTCAGATCATCATCTTCCATAAATAATCGATAACAAGATACTCTGGTAGCAGCTATCTCATGCTCCACAAACGCAGACTTAAACCAATCTGCATAGCAGAACGCGCAAAGATTCACGGGAATGCTTTGCATGGCGTTCAAGACTTCATAACTTTGAACTTTTATATAATTATTCTGAGGGAAAACTGTCTGCAGGTTAATCCCAGACTCGTAACCAATTAAAATAAAGGCGATTCGGACTCTGGTCGTATTGAAAATGACCAACAACTCTGAGTCCATTTTTGTTATCTGAAAAGGGCGCCCGCCATCAACGACAATGATCATAATTTGTTCTGCATCCTGCCGTGCCAACTGTAACGTTTCGTTATACAAGTCTCCAATTATAGAAAGAGCGACCGTTAGCGGGTAGGATATTGGACTTGTTATAAGAGTGTCCATTTCTATTGCTCTTTTCAGATGGGCCTGCTGTGTATAAGCATCGAAAGGAATCCTTGTATGAATAACTGGCGCGGTAGATGAGTTATCTACAGAAGATGCCAGGAGGGACACTCTCAGTCTGGTGAGGTTGCGCTCTGATGGTGGAGAGAAAACATCGACCAGCTTGGAGAAGAACTGCATTTGTTTGTTGTAGTGTGTGTCCCGCCCGGAGCTTGGCGTGGAAGTGGCTGCATCGGCCACAAATATCAGGTCTATATTTGTGTCGTAACAGTCCGGGAGTGGCCAGTCATTCGTTTGCCTTGTGATGATCAAACCTTACAAGTGAAAGAGAGTATATAATTTAACTAATTGGTAGTTTCGTAGGTACATAGGTAAGTAGGTAGCTTGGTCGAAAAATAGTTGGATAGGTAAGTATGTAGGCAAATAGGTAGTTAGGTATGTTTGTAGATATGTATGTAGGTAGGAATTAGGTAGCTAGTTAAGTCGGTATTAGGTAGGTAGGTTTACAGGTAGGTATGTAGGTATATTGATGGTAGATGAGTTTGCAGGTAGAGGTAAAGGTAATTAAGTATGTAGGTAGGTTCGCGACTAGGTAGGTAGGCAGGTAGGTAGATATGTATGTAGGTAGATATTTTGGTAGGTATGTAGGTTGGTATGAAAGCAGGTAGGTAACCAGGTGAATAGATACGAATATACATACAGATATATAGACACACAAAAGAACCCAAAAAAAATTAAATATCAATTGTTATCTGCAGTTTTCTACATTAGCATGAAAGAAGGAATGTAAAGAATGAATGAATGATCGAAAGAAAGAAAGAAAGAAAGAAAGAAAGAAAGAATTCTTTCATTGAATGCAGGCAGATAGCTGAATAGCTAATAGATAGACATACAGGAAGCAGGCAGGAAGGCAGACAGACAGACAAACTGACAGACAGCTTGGTTTATTGGTGGATATGTGGTGAGTGATAGGTAGATGGGTAAGTTGATAGACAGGTCAATAGTTATGTAAATAGATAAATAAATGTGTAGATATAGTTTTGGTAAGTAGATAGGTATGCAGTAGGTGGATTGCTAGGGTTTTAGTTAGATAGAGGGGTTAATATGTTAGTATGTAAATAGGTAAGTAGGTGCTTTTATTATATCACTGTAAATGTTTCTGTGCATGAAGCAATATGAAAGTTATATCTAAGGTAAAGTGGGGAGATGTGAACCAGCGATACTGCACACGGTTGTAAACCATAAGTTCGCTGCCACCAGGGCAGCTTATAAGAAACTGTCCGCCTGTGTCGCCGCCCGCACGCAACTCCGTAGCTACAGCGACGTTCCTCCATTTACTCCAGGGTATTAACTCTGAACCCATTACCTTGAGGCTGTGTGAACCCGGGGAACCGTCCGGGTTCGAACTCCGGCCGTGGGCTGCAGCGAGTTCCAGCTAGACTTGAAAGCGAGTCTCCTATCGACCTCGCTAATGCGGCGGCCCCCGAAAGTTATATCTTTTGATGATGACAGAGAAACAAAACATGTTAACTCACCAATATTTAACTGGCAACACAGAACAGCGATCAAGAATGTTACGACGTGACCGACAAATGCCATCGTTCACACAACCTAAATAAACAAATAGAAACATAATAAAACAACAAACAAACCAAATGACAACTTTCACGCCAAAAGATAACAATCGTATGTTTCTATAGTAAATAGTAAGTAAAGATCCCTTTTCATGCCTTAAAGAGCGTTCCATATTTTTACAGGCCTATCTGCACTGGGTGGGTAATGTGGTCAGCATTACGCCGGCAGTCTTTACTTCCCCATGACATACATCCTGGTACCCATTTTAGGCTGGATCGACCTGCGACGCCCCATACCATGGTAAAAATCCACGCAGCCAGCAGTGAGTTTCGATCGTGATACGTTGGAATTACGAGTCGGACTCATATGGTTCTATAACTATATGTTTTTTAACCCACAACAGTCAGCGTTCATTGAATAATTTATTTGACATCACACTGACCGTCTTTACTTCCTATGTCAGTTCCTGGTACCTATTTTAGACGATGTTGTCTACACGAGAAGAAAAGTGCCGTCCGGTCTATCAAAAGTGAACAGGGTCTGGCTAGATATGACTACCACTTTATTGACAGGTATGGGCAGGTCATTATTCTACATCTCAGTACAGAACATAACAAACTTAAGCTGATGTGCAGGTTTCGTCTAAGTCTGTGGTTTTTAACCTTCTCTTACAGTTCCTCATGTTGCGGCGACCCTTTCATTTAGTTCCTCATGTTGTGGCGACCCTTTCATTTAGTTCCTCATGTTGTGGTGACCCTATCATTTAGTTTCTCATGCTGTGGCGACCCTTTCATTTAGTTCCTCATGTTGTGGCGACCCTTTAATTTAGTTCCCTATGTTGTGGCGACCCTTTCATTTAGTTCCTCATGTTGTGGCGACCCTTTCATTTAGTTCCTCATGTTGTGGCGACCCTTTCATTTAGTTCCTCATGTTGTGGTGACCCTTTCATTTAGTTCCTCATGTTGTGGCGACCCTTTCATTTAGTTCCTCATGTTGTGGCGACCCTTTCATTTAGTTCCTCATGTTGTGGCGACCCTTTCATTTAGTTCCTCATGTTGTGGCGACCCTTTCATTCAGTTCCTCATGTTGTGGTGACCCTATCATTTAGTTTCTCATGCTGTGGCGACCCTTTCATTTAGTTCCTCATGTTGTGGTGACCCTTTCATTTAATTCCTCATGTTGTGGCGACCCTTTCATTTAGTTCCTCATGTTGTGGCGACCCTTTCATTTAGTTCCTCATGTTGTGGCGACCCTTTCATTTAGTTCCTCATGTTGTGGTGACCCTTTCATTTAGTTCCTCATGTTGTGGCAACCCTTTCATTTAGTTCCTCATGTTGTGGCGACCCTTTCATTTAGTTCCTCATGTTGTGGCGACCCTTTCATTTAGTTCCTCATGTTGTGGCGACCCTTTCATTTAGTTCCTCATGTTGTGGCGACCCTTTCATTTAGTTCTTCATGTTGTGGCGACCCCCAAACATACAATTATTTTCGTTTCTACTTCATAACCTTAAGGAATATGTGCTTTTTCTGGTAGTCTTTAGCGACCCCTGTGAAAGTGTCCGTCGACCTAAAAAGGGTCGCTACACACAGGCTGAGAACACCCGGTCTAAGCAGTTCACCAATGTGTTGTGTTTGCTATGTGTGTAGACTACAGAACATGTCCTGCAAGATTGTCCCTTGCAAAGCCCATTAAAAACGGAATACTGACCCAATGAGTCAACACT